GTCTGCGGACAGCAACAAATGGGTGATCGTCGCGACCGACTATTTGACATGCTACGCTGAGACCCAGGCGATCCCACGAGCCACGGCTTCTGAGGTAGCACAATTTTTCATGCGCCACATCGTGTTACGACACGGTGCTCCTTCCAGTATAATAACAGACAGAGGGACGGCACAGCTTACGGACAAAGTTTTCAAACTGAGCAACACCAGACACCGAAAGACAACTGCGTACCATCCGCAAACCAACGGACTTACCGAGCGACTGAATAAGACCATCGCAGACATGATCTCAATGTACATCGACGAACAGCACAAAACATGGGACCGGATCTTACCTTACGTGACCTTCGCGTATAATACCGCCGTGCAAGAGACCACGCGATTCACGCCATTTCAGCTTCTCTACGGCCGCGAAGTGCAGACCATGCTGGACTCTATGCTACTGTGTCAAGACGAAGACGAGTTGGCAACTGACACCGATGAACTCGCAGAGCGTGCTGAGGAAGACCGGCAGCTCGCGCGACTACACATTGGCCAGGAACAGCAGGCAGATGCACGGCGCTATAACATCTGCCACAGTGAAGTATTTTACAACCACGGAGACCGAGTTTGGGTGTGGACGCACGTCCGCCGCCGTGGCCTTAGTGAAAAGTTACTGAGCCGGTACTTTGGCCCATATAAAGTGTTACGTCGCGTCAGTGACGTGAACTACGAAGTGGTTCCGGACTCAACATCGCAGGCACGGAGTAGGACACGACCGAGGTCGGATGTCCTTCATGCGTTGCGCATGAAACCATTTATTGCGCGTTGTTCACAACTTTTTCCTTGCCGTACACTGTTCTTTGTGTTATTTATTTATTTTTGTGAACTTGCTTCTTCGTTCACTGATTTTTCCTATATTGGCACGCTCGTTAATTTCTACTGTTACTTTATCCGAATTTCCAATTTCTTTTTTTTTTCTATGTGCCTATGTCGTAACATCGTGGTGGTGCTATGTACTTTTCTTTCCCCCTTTTGGGACTTTTTTTTTTTCTTTTCGAAAGGGGGAATAATGCCACCCACACGTAGTGGGTCAATTGCAAGAGCGGCTCTACCATCTGGAGGAAAGAAAGAAGATTGCGTGCCTCTTCTCGGCTCGAGAGCCAGCCACGACTGACGCACCATCCTAGAGCTAGCTACCCGGTCGTTCAATAAATCCCCCAGTACTTGTGACTCATCGTGACAATATTAACAGCGAATATACCTTGCAAGGTGCATTAAATTATTTTAAAATTTGCGAGAGCCCTCAACTACATCGTGCCATTAACACCCCTGAAGGGGACCCATTGGGGAACCCCGACTTTCCACATGTCAGTATGCTGCAGTGATATGACTGAAAAAATTGCGCTACAGTTGCTGCAGAGAACAAACTTAGGGAGGAGACAAGAAATGAAATGGACAGTACAAGCGCAAACTATTTACTGAAGTTTATTGAACGAACCTGGAAGAAAGAAGGCTTGCTGGAAAGAAAAAAATCAATTTACGAAGAGGGTGGGGCCCGGCAATCTCACTCCACTGTCTTCAGATGCTACACAACAGGGTGAATGCGATTACCTGATGTGGTGCTGATTCAAAGTTCTTATTTTAGTATGCTGATTAAATTGCTATTTCTGGATTCTGATGAATTTGATTTTCGTGGGGGTTAGTGCAATGGAGCTGGAACTGATGCATGCACTTTCTTGGTCTGATATCTAAACGGCATCCCAAATTTCCCGTGCAGTCTTATTTTTTTTATTTGGCCAGAATCGTAGTGTTTTCAAACATTGGGCTGCACCCACACTCTCTGCAGTGCATAGAAAGGTTGCCTGTGATCGCTGTCTGCTTGCATCAATAGTGATGCTCTTCAAGCCGCTTGTTGATGCATCTTCTCCGATTGCCTAATGTATACTCTACCCCACTAACATGTGGCACAGAATTTCTGAACTTTTCCTGCACTGCCGTGAACCGGTTCCGATTAGTGCAGGTGAATTGAACAGACCCAGTGAGTGTATCGTTTGGGCATGGATGCCTTCAGGTGGTGTGCAAGACATTATTGGTCAGCTGCCAGCTCGTAGCAAGATAATATGCTTCGTGACACCAAACAAAAAAAAAAGTGTCCCGCACACACCCTCAGGGATATTATCACTGCTGACAAACATTCTTAGGTTTTAATGTACATAAATACTCCACAAAGTGGACCGAAGGATGACCGCCACTGTAGCTCAGGGGTACGGAAACCGACACGTTATTTAAAGATCACAGGTTCGGTCCCTGCCGGGGGTGAGTTGTCTTTTCATACAGTTGTCTTTCTTCTCATTTACAACATAATTATTACAAATAACTTCCCCTACACTTTGGTAGTTCTCATTAATGAGGAGGAGTATAAGTAAAGGACTCTTACCAGCTGGTCGAGCTGGAAGAACAGCCACAGGAGTTTGTCACTATCAAGGGTTTGTTTTAATACACGAAACTGCTATTAGGCGTTGCTTCTGTCCTGGCCACATTTCGACAAAAAATGAAAAACCTGCAGGGGATTCTTGATCAATTCACAGTCTACTTTGACGGCATCTTGATAATAGGCGTTAATGATGACAAACAGTGGGCAAATGACTGGTAAGTACTAGAGTGCTTGCAAAAGGTGGACTTGAAACTGAAACTTGCAGTTGAAAGTTTTGGTTACCCACGGTCCAATACTTGGGCCACACAATGAATGCTGCTGGGCTATACCCACATCCTGCCAAGACGTCTAAACTGCTACATTGAAAAATTCCGGAACCCTAAGGCTTTGCCTTCAAGTGCTGATCACAATAGCGATATCCTGTCCCTAGTGCATACTTCTTATTGTATGATGTTACTCGAGAGCTTTAATATGTGGATTACTACAATGTAATTGATAAAGTTGAAAGTGGCTTGTGTCAGTGAAGCTTTTGCATATGGCTGCATTTTGTGTAGTCATAACAAGCTTTCAACTACGAGCAATTAATTGAGTGAAATATTTTCAAACTTTCCACGCACCCACTACGTGACCTTAAGAGAATAGGCGCAGTAAAGAGTGTGCCTTATACCTGTGTCACACGGGCGCGCAAAAAGTCTTTTAAGTAAGCGGTCTTTTACGAAGTTGAAAGACTTTTAACAAACAGGTGTTGCGGCGCAGACACACTGCAGCAACGATCTCCTTTTAGTGTTTTCGTTCGGAGACGCTAGCGAAAGTGTGGCGCTAGCAGTTAAAAGAGAAGCAATGAAAATTAAACAATGTATCACGATGTACAAATTAAAGACTTGTTGCACTGCTCGTTTCTTCAAATAAATTTAAGAATAAGAGATAAAGAAACACCAATGTGAAAGTTTGTTGCACTAGTTAAGGAAGAATTCCCATAACTAGCGACGTGCACAAGTCCGTCTGGCACCACTGGGCTTTTATTTACCGTATTTGTTTTTTTCGCTGCTCTCGACTGCTCTTGACACCTTATGGGCGACCGTACGGAAAGAAAAAGCGAGGATCGCAAGCCTCACGGCCTGCCTTCTCGCTCTGGAAAGCGAGGCAGACGCTGCAAAAGCCACCAAGGAGAGGATCAAGCAGCAACTGCTGTTCAGCGATTCCTTGCTGTGCGCACTGGAGCTGACGGAGAAGGCCTGCGATCGATCGATCTGGGCCTTCAGACGAAACGAGAGGTGGTTCGAGGGAATTGTACCTCACCTCGGTGAGCAGAACTTCAAGCAATCTTTTCGAGTGTACACGTCCACCTTTCATTTCATTGTGGAGAGCTTGCGCAGTGAGCTCGAAAGACAGTGCACCAGCATGCGTGAAACCATCACTCCTGAGAAGCGAGTCGGCATTGCCCTATACAAGCTTGACCACTTGAATGACGGGCAAACACACGACTGCCACTCTTTCCTCGCTTGTGCAAAATGGCGCGGGGCGAGACCGAGCGTCACCACATGATATTGCCGACGCGTTGTAGCTGCTTACGAGAGTAGAAAAGAAAATAACCATTAAAAGAGTTCATTACACCTTCTGCAGGATATGAAATTTGTTTTTACAAAGAGTTTTGGTGACAGAAAAATAAGCCTTCGCTCTTTTTTTCCCACCACTCGAAAATTGCTGGCGCCCACTGGTTTCGAGGCTACTCATTCGGAGCCGTAAAAGAGATCGACGAACTCCGTTTACGAAAAGGACTGCTTCAGAAAACGAGTTCGTTCTGTGCCATGTGTCTACTGTCAGGAACTCCTTTTCGGAAAAAGACCACTTACTTAAAAACTTTCAAGTGCCCGTGTGACAGGGGTATTATAGTGGGTGGCAAGCTTTTTACCATGAAATCCTTATGATAATCAGATGTTATCACGCCTGATGGCAATGCACGATTGTACCACACAATATTACGGCAATATTACATGTTGCATTGTGAATCACATATACAGGACACACGTGTTCGTAAAGCATGAGTGTTATTTTCACAGCATTTTTAAGCAGGCAAAGTTACTTTCACTGTATTTCCAATGATAACATGGGGCTGTGCGGTAAAACACCTGCTTGCAACACAAACGACCAGGGTTCGATCCTCACTCAGACCCGAAATTTTTTATTATTTACTTTACCTACATCTTTCCCTATTTTTTGGTCACACGCGAGATCATTTTTCGCTCATAACTGACCATGCAGATGCCGGAATTTCTGTGAAATGAGCTCTTTACGCTATCGCGTTGAAACTGAAATGGATGGGAACACTCAAGAATTCTCTGACGATTGAATCTCTGGCTCAGAAGAGCAAATGGCACCACAAAATGTGCACACAAAGTAGCAATAAACCCTGAACCTATTTACAGATAATCCTCTGAGCGTCATGGTGAACTATAATTATCCTAATAACCTGTCATGTTGAAGATAGCGCAATTGTCACTTCATGTCTGAAGTAACAAAACCGAAGACTCAATTGAGCCTTGGTGAAGCGGCTTTCCTCGAGTTAGGCTAGGCTAACACTGACCTTAATGTGCTTCCGGCATTCCTTGAAGCCAGCTGCAAGTTGTGTAACCACATCTTTGTGGTCGTCCAAGACTTGCTGCACAGTCTCAGAGTAGCGGCTCTCCGAGTCAAAGTCTGTCACCTGCAAGACACACACACCGTTGTGGTTGTTGCAATAAACTTAGGAGTGAATAAATTGCTCGGGCACCGAAATCTGCTTCCCAAAGATTCCTTGCCCCCCCCCCCCCCCCCCCCAGTGCTTGACAAAATTCAGCAGCAGTATGCATAATTAGCTTACATGATTGCCCCGAAATGAAGATTGAGGAGAAATATACACCCACCTTGGATGATAGCACCATTGTATGGCATAAACTGCTCATAACATAAGTTGCTGAGGACGTGAATATCTGCACTACCACTGAAACAACATCTTTGAAAGGCTACATGTGTGCAAAACATCACTGAAAAATGGCCACGCAATTCTGACCATTGAGGCATGCGATGGGGTACAAGTTTGTATTTATGCAAGTTCACAAGTGTTTGACAGTTGATGTTTTTGTTTGTAGGAAAGAAGTGAAAATATAAGGGCTTGTTTTTTCTTTATTAGAAGCAATATTAGTTCTCATCAACATTTTTGTTAGCGTCACTCGTGCAATAGTGTTCACTGGGGCTGAGGGGCTTGCGTAATCAAGTGGAACGTGTGTTGTGTGTGTGCTTCGCTTGTCATTCTGAGGAAATAAACAGTTGTAAGTCTGTACATTTTCCCCTCTTCCTCAGGTTCCTTCCTTCGAGCTTGTGCAATACGCTACCCCTTCAATGATATGAACCAACTAGCAGGAAAAAAGGTTTTCTTTGTATCGTGCGTGAAAGGGGTGCTGAAGTGAAACAGTAAATCACACTGTGCCAACTCTAGCGTTGTTAATTTTACCATCCCAGGTGAATAAAAGACGAAAATCAATGCCCAAACTCTCACTTTTATATCCCTACGAATAATGTAACCCTCACGGACTTCATAAATACAAAATGAAAAGGTTCAAACACCAAAATTAGAACGTTCAAAACATTAAAAATGACATTTCAGCCGACCAAGTATGATAGCCGGAATGTCATTTACGATGTTTTAAACCCTTTCATATTGATCTGTCGAAATGTCATTTTTGATGTTATGAACTTCTTCACTTTGGTCATGGCTATTTCATTTCGTTATTTCATAATTCTTCTCAACCAGACGATGCTTTGTCAGACCGTGGATTTCAAATTGCTTTTTGATACTTCAGCCATATTGGCTCCATGAAACTTCCTGAACAATGGCGTCCGGAAGCTCTACAAAGAGCACAGCGCAGTCGCCAAGCATTCTGAGACGTATGACCACCGGATAAATTTCGACATAACAACCATCCTTGCAAGCGAGACTAACAGGAGGAGCAAGTTGCTACTTGAGTCTAGGTATATACATCGAAGGGTCCAAAACATCAACCATTCTCTCAGAAGCCTTCCCCCGGTGTATGCACATGGACTACGCCCCGCGACAAAACGGGAGAGAGAGAGAGAGGGTCATTAACCACCTCGCGAGTGCTTTGAAGATGCCGCAGCAACGTAGCCCCAGTCCCCCAAAGAAGAAACCAAGTCGGCTCCGAAACGTCGGGTTTACGCATCTTCACATACTTTTTGGTTGGAGTTTAAATCATTTCCCACAAAAGGTATTACCGGAGTGGAAGCAGCCTTCAGTATTTTGGAGCAGCTTTGGGAGCAGGAATAATGTGGTTCTTGAGCAGCTTTGGAGCAGTAAAAAGGGAGTTTCGGAGTAGCTCTGGAGCACAAAGAGGTGTGTTTTGGAGCATCAAAGTTTAGTTTTGGAGCAGATTTCTCGGGCCACACACCACTGTTAATTAAAATTTTTGCTTTCTGGTAAAGACAAAAGATCTCAGTGGTTTTACTAAGCATGCAATACAGATAAAGCGACCAGACTTATCCGAAATTGATATATGTTAGACCTTGTGTGATGACAAAAGGTGGCACGGAAGCTCTGGCACGTGGGCAGCTAGCGTGAGGTAGAAGAGGAAGAGAAAGATCAGAATAAGAACTGCCGGCCCAGGATCGGGTATTGTCTCTTGTTGTCTGTCTAGTTCATGACAATGGCACAATCCAACAAGTGAACCCTCTGCAGGAAGCAACCAGTACGTGTCTTCGTGGCTCGTCGGCAGTGTGGGCTTCTCCATCGAGGAACGCCGTTCAACGCTTCCTTGGCGATGGGGTCCCGCCCGCCACTTCAGCTACCCTTCATTGGACAGCGTCTAGGCCTCCCCTGTGGTTCTAGGGCACGACCTAATGTACACCCTACCACCGCTTCACGATAGGGATCCGTGGGGCTCCTGTCAATTGGGAATGCTGCTCACGCTTCCTATGGCTTATATTCCCGTAGCAGTGCTCTTCCAACATACGAGCCTCGACGGTACGCCGTCCAAGCTTCTCTGCTCGTCAATCTCGCCGGCGTGAGTGCTGCCACCGCTACTTACTTGAAGATCACGATCATGGACTTTTTGGGCTTCACACCCGACAGCGCCGCGAACCTGCGGCCTACCATCGCGCTACTCCACGTCGAGATTAACGATCTGACAGCGTCGATCTCCGAGCGAGCTCCTACGATATTGCCAGCATTGTGTGCCATTAACGCAGTGTTGGATGTAGCTGCCTCGCACGACCTTGAGGCAACCCCCTGGAGCAACACAAGGAGCTTCCGTCTTCTCTTATCGAGCTCTCACACCAGCTCGGCTGCTTCGTGTTGGTGATCTCTGTCACCCCACCACCACCTGCCACCTCACCATTACAGGCCGTTTGCGAACTACCGGAAATCCACGGGTTTTAGAACAACACCGACAGCTGGGTGGTAACCATGAACGCCCTAGCAGTGCGTGAGGCTTGGACAGAGCTTCAGAAATGATGCATGGCCATAGACCTCCTTCGGGAAGGTACCGCAGCATGGCACCAGTATAAAGACGTGAAGCAGCTGAGCTGGTCGGACTGGAGCTGCAAGCTAATTGCTGCTTTTGGCTGTATTCCTGACCACCTCTTTGCCACCACCTCGTCCAACCAAACCACAAGCGAGGGTGGAACTCTGGAGGGGTTCCACTATGAGGCTGCTGTTGAGCGTGGCATTTCATCACTTGAGCTTTTGGACTCGTCGCCGGCACCCGAATTAAGTACAACACAGCCACCGACTACTGCCGACGACAGCTCTCGTGAAGGGCACCACTCTTAATTTTTTCAGATCGCGGATTGCGCGTCGGAACCCATGCCTCGAACTTCCTTGACAGAGACTCCACGGAAGTCTTCGGCCCAGTGTGTGGGTGAACCACGTGCACAAGAAAATACAATCGCAACCACATTCTTTGAACGTCTGCCCGTTTCTTCAAGACCTGACGCTAGCATCATCAGGCGTATATAGATGCGTCCCAGGCAGACATAGTCACCATCTGCGATTCCAACTACATCGCGTGTGAACCCGCTGACGCCAAGCACAGTGTACCACGTGAACACCGTGCGGCTAATTACGAAGGTGGTAACGTCGCAAGCGGTTCTGGTCACAATTACAAACATGGATCGGAGCTACCGGTCACCGTATTTTGTCCGAGTCGCCACAGCACAAAAGACTACGATGACAGCGAGGGCGAGACTGTTGTGTCGAATCTTGATGATCACGTCCCACTGCTTGTGCGAGTGCACGTATATTTTGAGTTGCGAAAGTGTTTGTCGACCGGGCGCACAAAAGTGAACCAAGGCCAGACCGCCAAGATGAGGGGTCTGCTAGGCGTGTGACGATCACTGCATCACAGTCAGGGCTGCCCGCCGAAACCATCATAAAGGAAATTTCATGCCAAATCACATCAGTGCAGGGAACTTCGACCACTATGACATACCCAATGTCGTCCCCAGGAGTTGTCATCGACAAAGGGACCAACCAAGGCTCAGTTTACACAGCAATATGGCGAACGATCTAAACGACATAATCAGTGTAGGCCACCAGAGGCCCTTTGGACAGGTCTCCAGGATCGAACGCTCCGATGCAGCCAACACCGCCCACCGGAGACATTGTGGGCTCTTCCGCACGTCGCATTCTTGGCCGAGTGTGATGACGAAAGGCGGCAGGGAAGCTCTGGCGCGCGGGCAGCTAGCGGGAAGTAGAACAGGAAGAGAAAGATTAGAACAGCTGGCCCAGGATCAAGTGTTGTCTCTTGTTCTCTGTCTAGTTCATGACACTTGCAACATTAGAGGTAGCAGCAACTCAAGGAAGAAAACATAAGCGACGCTCTGGACTCGGAAGTACCGTCGCAGAAGCTTTTCACTGAGTCCACGTCGGCGTATCCGCGTCCACGCCCAAACACATTCACCGGGCTGGTATTCCACGAAGCGTCGTCGAATATTGTAATGGCGGCTGCCAGTCGTCTGTTCATTCTTGATACGAAGACCCGCGAGTTTTCGGTCTTCTTCGGCGCGTTGACGGTACTCTCTCACATCGAGGTTTTCTTCGTCAGTGACGTTGGGTAAAATGGCATCGAGCTTCGTTGCCGGGCTCCTTTCGTAGACCAATTTGTATGGAGATATCTGCGTTGTCTCTTGCACCGCCGTGTTGTATGCGAAGGTCACGTACGGAAGAATGGCTTCCCACGTCTTGTGCTCCAAATCGACGTACGTTGCCAGCATGTCGGCGATCGTCTTATTTCCGCTCGGTGAGGCCGTTGGTCTGTGGGTGGTACGCTGTCGTCCGGCGGTGGTTTGTCTGGCTGTATGCCAAAATCGCTTGAGTTAGGTCAGCAGTAAATGCCGTTCCTCTGTCGGTGATAAGGACCTCCGGGGCGCCGTGACGTAGGACGATATTTTCGACGAAGAACTTAGCTACCTCGGATGCACTGCCTTTGGGCAGGGCTTTTGTCTCGGCGTAGCAGCTGAGGTAGTTGGTAGCTACCACGATCCACTTGTTTCCGAAAGCCGACGTCGGGAACGGCCCTAGTAGGTCCATACCCATCTACCGGAATGGTCGGCGAGGTGGTTCAATTGGCTGCAGAAGTCCCGCTGGCCTTGTCGGTGGTGTCTTGCGTCGCGGACAGTCCCGGCATGTCCTCACATGACGAGTGACGTTGGCGG